TGAACTTCCATTTGACCCAGTGATCCCACTTCTAGGAATATACCCTAAGAAGCCTGAAACACCAATCAGAAAGAATATATGTATCCCCATGTTTATAGCAGCACTATTTACAATAGCTAAGATCTGGAAACAGCCCAAGTGTCCATCAGTATACAAATGGATAAAAAAAGCTGTGGTACATATACACAATGGAGTACTACGCAGCTGTAAGAAAGAAAGATCTCTTATCCTTTGAGACTACATGGAGGGACCTGGAAAGTATCATCCTAAGTGAAACAAGCCAAACAGAGAAAGACAAGTTTCATATGATCTCACTTATTAGTGGAATATAATGTACATAACAGTCTGAGGAATGGGGTAGTCCCAGAGACGTGGAAGTGGGGTACAGACTGACAATTCCCAGAAGAGGGGGTGGTGGGGAGGAGATAAACCACAGAACTTATATGCATGTATGCATGAACAGTGGACACGGACAACAAACTGGGGAAAGGGCAGGGAGGGAGGGGGAGGGGGGAATCAGTGGGAGAGAAAGGAGGAACATCTGTAACAAAAATTAATTAATAAAAAAAATTTTTTTAAAGAAATAAATAAAAATCAAGGCAAAAGCAACAATACTAACAAAGTAAAAGTTAAGACATAGCTACAACCTGACAAAATAAACAGGAGCCAACAATTTCTCCTGCCCTTTAACCCTTTAATTCCATAACTGAAAATTCAGCTTTAGGAAGTGTGGTGACTGAAGCCAGCTCACTGGCTGATTGTTACATTGTCAGGAATTTTATAAGCAGGTTGTCAAACATGATCATTACTAAAAATTGTCTTATATAAATTTATAATTAAATAATTATATTTAAAACAAAGCTAATAAATGCTAAAAATACATCACATGCTAACTTTTAAAACTGTATTATACTATTATCTATACTCTTAGGTTTTTACATCTTTAGTGTGTGATTAATTTCTTCCCAACTTTGCATTCAGTACTATCATGTTGGTCATAAGAAACAACATACCAATAAGATTTTTTAAAGTATTGTAAATGTTGAGTTTAGGCGTGTAAAGAATTATACATAAAGATGAAGAAACTCTATGGACTGAGACAAGTGATTATATAGACAAGAAAGTAAGAAGGTGGTTGGTGATTGGGTCATTGGGAATGGTAGAAGAATGGTAACAGAAAATGGGAAATAAAGTGTGACTATACTGATGTGGTCAGAAAGTAGAGTGTGGTTGTTAAATTTGAAGAAAGTTAACCTGGAAGTAAAAGTGTTCATAGGTCATAGATTATTTAATTGTCTATGATTATTGCAGCAGCAAGATGGCCATGCTGGGACTCACAAACTGCACACTTAAGTGCCCTGGGGTATCAGAGTGAACTCAGAGGGACACTGTGGATATTTTAAATTTTCAAAGGAAACAGTGCTCCATCACATCTGTCAAACATGGCTTGAACTAGTTGCTCAAGTTATTCACAGTTTCAACATTTGATAGTACTATATTTATTTTGGTGATGTCATATATTTGCAATATGTGGTTAAACATGTGGTGTGCAGCTATGAAAGAAATAAAGAATTTTGCTACACAATACTGTGGAATGATCTGCAGGATATAATATTAAATAAGAAAATCAAAACGGAGGAAAGTATGTATACTACGTCATCATTTATCTAAAAGAAAGTGTTGAATACAAATATTTACCTAGCCCTGGCCAGTGTGGCTCAGTTGGTTGAGCATTGTCCCATTTACCAAGAAGTCGCCTGTTTGATTCCTAGTTAGGGCACATGCCCAGATTTCAGTCTTAATCTTCAATAGGGGGCCTGCAGGAGGCAGGCAATCTCTCTCTCTCTCATTGGTGTTTCTTTTTCTCTCCTTCTCTCCCTTTCTGTCTCTAAAAAATAAACAAACATATTTTTAAAAGTATACTTACCTAAACATTTTTTTAAATTCCTGGATGCAATAGATCAGGAGAATCAAGGGAATTCTACAGTTTGGATCTCATCAAAGCAAATGATTTACTCTACATTAAAGTAAGGAAGAAATGTATATTCCACATATGTACACCAGTTGGGTAGAGCCAGTCATTCAACAGATATTTAATGAGTACCTACTGTGTGTCAGACTCTGAGAATACAGTGAAGGAAAGACTCCCAACTGTGAAACATGGTCATACAGACAAATATTAATAGGATAGAATAAAATAGACCAAAAAGGTATAGTGTTCTTTATCTTTATTTCAAAATATCTATATTTCAAAATTATAGAAAGGAAGAAACACATCCCAACTGATTTTATGAAGCCAACATCACCCTGATACCAAAAATCAGAAAAAAAAAAAAAAAAACATTGCAAGAAAATAAAGCTGCTGACCAGTGGCTCTCATCAAACGAGATGTAAAAATTCCCAACCTAATGTTAGCAAATTAAATCCAAAAAAATACTAAAAGTAATACATCATAACTAAATGGAGTTTATCTCTGGATTATAAGACTGGTTCAATATTCACAAAATAATCAGGTGAAATCACATAGTATTTGTCCTTGCAGAACAAGACTCACTCATCCCATTACCCTGTTTTCTCTATTACTCTTTCTCTTAATCCACCCATATCTTAGCCACCCATATTAATTATAAATTGTAACCAGTTTATAACTTCTATTTCACAGAACTGGAGGTAAATAATTGAGAAATATCAAATGCAAGCATTTTAGCACACAAATAAAGTTTAGTAGTATACATAATACAACTGTCTACAGTCATCACATTACCTTTATACCTTCTGAAAATGTCAAAAATGAAAATGCCCCTTACCATGACCCAAAAGGATAGCCATCCTAACTCATGTAAAAACAAGAAGCAAAAATATATAAACTTAAAATTATGCTTCTATTACTCGTTGTTTCAGTATTCAACTTTTAAGATAAATTATCTAGTTAAATAATAATTAATCATTAATTGACTCAATTTAACATTATCTCAGGGTCTTAAGTGACCTAAAGTTTTTTTTGGAATTGTGTTTGAACTTACATGGTACAAAACATAATTACTGTTGATATAAAAAGTTCGTCTGAATAATTACTCATTTTAATGAACACGAATTTACATTTGTCATAAACATAAATATTCTTTAGTCATAATGATAGCCGATTTAATCAGTCACCCAAAATAAGAATTAGGACATTCAGATTAGATCTCTTCTTGAAAAAACAAATCTAAATATCATAAAAGAAAACATGTACCTGTATTTTACTAAGCATTAATGAGTCAGAGAAACAACATACTTGCCTTTTCATTCTTAAACCAAATTATTAATCCAGTCTGATTTCTGCAGACTCACCTTACTTATATAAAGTTGTTTTCTTAAAATGTTTCTAAGCTAGTAGTTTTTGTAAGAAGGACTTTTTTTTTCTTAAAAGTCTAGCACATTTAGAGTATTAAAAATTCTGGACTATTTAATAATGTTGGGATTTATACAAGTGCACATTTAAGTCTATAGACCATCCTTTAACTTAAGAGACATTACAATGAAATTTATTAATACCCTCCAGAAATATCAAAACATTTTACATTTGCACAGCAATATATAAAAACTGTTCTAAATTACAGACACACAGAAAGTTTATAGCTTGAATTTTACAACCTCAATCCCAAGCTGAAAATAAACACAGAAACACAAAAATTCACCAACCAAGATCTCAAAACACTATTCTTCCTAGAGGGCACAAAATTCGTAATTAATTCAAGCTTTCAAAGAAAAGAAAAAATACTAAAAAAATTGGATTCTCTGTCATCATTCTTCTCATAGAGACTAGATCTCCATCACCAAACAGGTATCAGCAAATGATTAGACCATACATCTAAATTCCCAGTCACTGCCGCTACCAATGTAGAATAACTTAGCCATTCACATATCAGAAACAAACAAACAAAAAAATTTAAGTCATTAAAAAGGAAAAATAGACAGTAAACTTAGTTCTATTACCACCTTGGATTTACTCAAAGAGCCAATAAAAGATAAGCCCGGACTTAACCCATGAGCTACATTTCCTTAGCCATAGAATTTGGCTCTATCATGTGAGTCCTTTGGGCATCTCTATAGAACGCTGAGATTTCCAATGTTAAAGTATAATTTAAACAATATAAAATCATGTCTCTCATGCAAATATAAAATGAACATATGCCAAAATTTTATTTAACTCATTAATTAATGAGGGATCAGGTAAGATGTTAAGACCAATTCAAAGAATCTATGAGAAGCTAGGCCTATGTTAGTAAAGAAACGTTAGCCTAGGGTAGAAGGGTTTGATACAAAACTGATTGTTTTACAGAACAATAAATTATAAACTGTGGGGTTATGTGGCCCACCAAACAGAAATTATTTTTCATTTCTGCCAGACAAAAATCTACAGGTTAACCTCTGCCCCTACAGAATTGTAAAAGAGCCCAATCAATAGAGAGTCAAGCCCAAAAAAGCACTGAAAAACAGCCAGTAATCTCTTGCCTGTTTCCAAGTTTTGGATAATTTTTCCCATAGGAGTGATATTGCACATATGGTGTGGGGCGTACATACACTAAAAAGTTATTCTTTTATCTTAAATTCATATTTAAATGGACATCCTCCATTTATCTTTTAACCCTAATAACAATTTAACAAAAACTTTATCAAGTCTGTACAGTTCTGTTTCCAACAATATATCTCTTAAATCTGGGCTAGCTTTATATCCTTGCCTAGACAATAACTCATGTCGTCTTCTGCGCGTCTATTCTTTATACATACCACTGGGGGGCGCATACAACTCACAGTCAAGTGAAGCGGTCACAAAAGTGTTTCTACATTGGATCCGCTAGGGGACCTTTCAGGGACCGCTCAGATTTCACAACCCGCCTCTGCTCATGCGCTCTTTAAGCATCTGTGCGCACGCGCAGAACTGCTCCTACGCCAGACCTGAACTGCGCAGGCGTTCCAGTGAGCGCGCAGACTCCATTGGTAGGGCTCACAGGAAAGGGAGCCGTAGGTGGGTGGAGCCCCGGGGAGCGTGTCCTCGCTGAGTCGGGGGCTGGAGGCTGGGGTCGGGTACGCTTTCTGCGTATTTTGTGCTCGATGGAGATGCCGTTCCGGGAGGCACGCCCCGAGGACTGCGCCGGCCTGGTTCCCCCCGACGATTCGGCCGCTCACAAAGAGGATCTTAGCAGCAAGGTGAGTGTGAAACGAGAGGGCGCGGGACGAGGCGCCGCCGGGCCCCCGAAAAGGCCCATCGCGGCCGCACGGCCCGGTCTCGGCTTTGCTCAGCTGCCTTGATCCTTTCATTCTTGGCTCTGGACAGCTGCAGTTAAGGGAGACCCTGAAACGTGCCCTGAAATTACACCCAGCTGGCGGTGGGCGGGGATTTGGTTAGGATTAAATTTTTAGAAGTGCCGCGCACCCCAGACCCACTGCCCGTATTCTCCATCTCAGAAAATGTCACCACCGTCGGTCCCGTTGTCCATGCCAGGAACTTGGGCGCCGACCTTGACGTCCACCACGAAGTCCGGCCATTCTGCTTCTGAAGCTCATCTCACATATGTGCCATTATCTCCGTATACACTCTTACCGTCCCAAACCAGCCTTCATTACCTGCCGTCGGGAACCCTGGCAGGGCCTCCTCTCCTACTAATAAACTGGCTTCTCACCCATCGTTACCATCTTCCCATCCGATCTCCACTTTAGCCAGAGCAGTGATCCTAAAACACGTATATGATTGTCCTTCCACCCACAAAAGGGGAGAGGGAAGCCAATATAATATAAATCTTACCTGCCATTGACAGACAGACCTTTAATAGTATATTGAAGTTGGGGATGGTTATAACCTTTCAGGTAGTAGATGTCCTAGATTCTTTGGTTCTGTCCTAAACTAATAGTTATATCTCCGGCAATTCTCTAATTCCTCTGTATCTGTGTCCTTGTTTGAAGTTAAGTGGAATATATGTATACTTGCCATTTCTAAAATGAATGGGAAAGCATTGTTCAAACACAGGTTTGGAGGTTGCACAAATTCGGTCTTGGAATTCAAGTCTATAGAGTCAGTTACTGTACCGGCTGTTAACTGGGGAGACAGAAGGGTACATACTCTGAGAAGAGTGAATTTTCAAACCACACACAGCCCACTGATTACTACCATAGCAAGCCAAATGTACTGATGCCTGACATCCCTGAGGTATGTGAGGTAGAACAAAGATATAAACAGGATTTTAGAGGCACTGGTTACTCTATGTAATCAATCATGTTCACAAAATAATTACTATTACTGAAAAGAGTTCAAAAAAAATCTTAGTTCCCACTTAGTTGATCCCTCTCTCCTACTAATAAAAAGTGAGACCTCTTTCAACAGTACCAGCACTGTGCTAGTCTTTGACATACAAAGAGGAATAAAGCAAAGCAAAGATGGAAGGTGATAGGTCTTACTGCCCCAGGTAGGGCATTTAGTACTACTTACTTGTTCTGAATGCCTTGCTGCACCATTTAGTACATAAATCATGAAAAGCATTGGTATTTAGGGGAGAAGAGAGAGTGGCCCACCCCTCTTTCCATTTGCTGTTCTTTATATTAAAAAGCTGAAACATAAATCATTGAAAAACTGGTGCATAGTGTCTGTTTTAAGTAAAGGGTATAAACTTTTTTTAGTAACTATGACCCTTGCATGAAAGCTGGTTACCCGTACCAAGCTCCTGTCTGTGCTCAATGGGCTGTCTAACACTTAGCGAGTCTAGATTTTTTTTTTTTTCCCTCACCTGAGGTTATTTTTCCATTGCTTCTCAGTTAGAGTAGAAGGAAGGGAGGGAGAGAGAGAGAGACAGAGAGAGAAAGAGAGAAACATCAATGTGAGAGAGACATATCGGACTGGCTGCCTCCTGTATGACCCTGACAAGGACCAGGGATTGAACCTATAACCCAGGCACCCTTGCTTGACTAGGAATTGAACCTGAGACCCTTACGTCCCAGGGGCAGTACTCAGACTGCTGAGCCAAACCTGCCAGGGCACACTTGGCAAGTCTAATCTCTGTTTCCTACTCCAACTTTTCCATACCTGCACCCTCATACAGACTGCTGCTGAAAAGAATCTGTATTCACAGACTGGACAATCAGTACATTATAGCCCATTATCCCATTTCTACTTTTAATGGGCCCCCATTGAGCATACTCTAGAATCTTTGATTTAAAAAAATTTTTCTTTACTTCAATAGATTAAAGAACAAAAAATTGTTGTGGATGAACTTTCTAATCTGAAGAAGAACAGGGTAAGTTATCAAAGTGATTCTGAGTAGTATGCAGGATAGTTTGATTATATCTTATTAACTATATAGTAAAGATAAAAGAATTTTATATAAGATTTATACTATTTCAGCATCTTTTTAAATTACAAAAATGAAGTGTCCAAGATTTTGTATGTATGTATATATAAATAATATGTAGAAAACTATACAAATATAGATATATTCATTTTGTAGTTCAAGAGAAAATATATAGATATCTATATATTAATCATAGTTGATATCTTTTCTCCATTATAGGAAATTCACATTATCTTTGAACCAAGTAATACTAATTATACTATAATATCTTGGAGCTATAATAACGAATGATATTTACTTTGTACTTAAATCTGATATTTTTTTAAGAAATAAATGAATTTTAAATATATTGAAAACAGAGGAAATTGTTCTTTTAAGTGAAAGGGGATAATTGTTGAAAAACAAAATGGATAAATTGCTTCCCCTCCCACCCCCACATTTTCTTACATAAATATTCCAAATATTTAACATGGTCACTTAATGCCATTTTCATTGTGTCTTTATAAGCATGCAAGCTGCTGCTTCAAGTGTAGTTATACTGTCAAAAATTACATTTTAAAGTTCAGGAAGAAATGATTTTTGAACCCTTTTAAGTATTTTACAGATTATTTGATAACTGACAGACATTTCTGATATTGTCACTTGTGGAATATTAGAGGTTAAGGCACAATTAATACAGACTTTTTTAGGGCAGATTGGCAGAATGTGTCAAAACTTCCATTTCTAGGAATTGATATTTAGGAAAAAAATCAAGGGAGTGCTCAGAGATTTAGTTACAAAGATGTTCATCACAACATTGATTTATAATAATTAAAAGTTGGTAATACCGTAAATATCTAAAACTTGAGGACTAACCAAATAAATTGTAATATATTATATCCATACAGTAATGTTGTAAAAGAACACATAGTAATAAGAAAAAAGTTCTCAGTATATTGTTCATTGATAAAGCAGTTATAAATCTGTAGTTATAGGAAGCTTTTTTTGTTAAAGAAAAATGATATTATGGTATATGCAGAGAAAAGAGTTTCACCTCAATGTTAATGGTAGCAATGGCAGGATAACGAATAACTTGTTTATCTTTATGCTAAGGTAGTGTTCTGAACATGTTACTGAAATTTAAGAATAAGTAATATTAGGGTTCAGAGTTTTGACATCTGTTGTTTTTTATATCAAATGATAATATAAGCCTAAATTGTGTTTTGCAGAAAGTATATAGGCAGCAACAGAACAGCAACATATTCTTTCTTGCTGACCGAACAGAAATGCTTTCGGAAAGCAAAAGTAAGTTTTATTGGTATATTATATGGAAATGCACAGAAAGTCTTTTGTAGGCTTTTTGTAGAAATTCATGATAGTACTTAAATGATACTATCTATATCTGAATGTTTAAATATATAGCTAAAGATTGAATAGTGGTACACCTAACCTATTAATAAAATTAATGCAGTAGTTTTGTTTTCTTCAAGTTAGCCTTCCAAAGATGAGTTTATGGTAACGATAAAATAAAAAATACATAAGATGTGTTAGACAGCACTAATTATTAACATGTGCTTTAGAGTTTGAGACAGATCTAGATATAAAACACTGTTCTACCACTTTCTGAAACCTTTGTGACTTTGCATAAATTACTTTGAGCTTCAAAAGTCCTGTGGGATTTAAATAAGATGGTATATATAAAGTGCATAGCCCAGTGCCTGGGCCAAAATAAGCATTTAATATACAGGAACTATTTTCCTAAAAGATAAACATTCATCGTGAGAAGCCTCTTGTAAATTATTATTTGCACTAACACACTGCATAGTATTCAGATGGGGTGATCTTGGTAATTGTCATCCTGTGAATTACTAGGTAAAGGTCCAAGACTTTTTATTTTACTTAATATTCTTCTCCCCTCTCCCCACAGATACATTGGATGAGCTGAAAAAAGAATACCAAGAAATAGAAAACTCAGAGAAGACCAAAATCAAGAAATAATCAACTTGATTTTCCATAACAATGTGTGGCATTTGTTGTTCTGTAAGCTTTTCTATTGAACATTTCAACAAAGATTTGAAAGAGGATTTACTGTGTAATCTTAAACGACGAGGACCTGATAGTAGTAAGCAGTTGTTAAAGTCTAATGTTAACTACCAGTGTTTATTTTCTGGTCATGTCCTTCACTTAAGAGGTGTTTTGACTGCCCAGCCTATGGAAGATGAAAGAGGCAATGTGTTCCTGTGGAATGGAGAAGTCTTTAGTGGAATAAAGGTTGAAGCCGAAGAGAATGATACTCAAATAATGTTTAATTACCTTTCCTCTTGTAAGAATGAATCTGATATTTTGTCACTCTTCTCAAAAGTTCAAGGTCCTTGGTCTTTTATATATTATCAAGCATCTAGTCATCATTTATGGTTTGGTAGGGATTTTTTTGGTCGCCGTAGCTTGCTTTGGCATTTTAGTAATTTGGGCAAGAGTTTCTGCCTCTCTTCAGTTGGCACCCAAACATCTGAAGTGGCCAATCAATGGCAAGAAGTTCCAGCATCTGGAATTTTCAGAATTGATCTCAAATCTACTTCCATTTCCAAATCTGTGGTTTTAAAATTGTATCCTTGGAACTACATTTCCAAGGAGGATGTTACCAAAGAATGTATTAATAGCCTGACTCAAATTTCAGCAGTCGTGCCAACATTTGTGTCAGTGGTAGTAAATGAGACCAAACTTTATCTAAAAGATCCTATTGTTTCTTTAAATATGATGTTGCCACAAACTCCATTTGATATCCATCACAATAATATTTCTAGCATCCCACCTACAAAAGAGACACTTCAGGTCTTTCTTACTGATGGACATGTGAAGGAAGTAGTTCAGCAGTTAATTGATGTCCTGAGTATTGCAGTCAAGAGACGAGTCTTGTGTTTACCTGGGGATGAATACCTGACACCAAGTGAAGTTTTGAAAACTTGTGATAGGAAAGCAAATGTTGCAATTCTGTTTTCTGGGGGTATTGATTCCATGGTTATTGCAACCCTTGCTGATCGTCATATTCCCTTAGATGAACCAATTGATCTTCTTAATGTGGCTTTCATGACTAAAGAAAAGACCATACCAACTAGTCTTAACAAAAAAAGGAGAAAACAGAAAAATTGTGAAATATCTTCTGAAGAATTGTCTCAAAATGCTGCTGCTGCTTCTGCTGCTGTTAATCTTGATAAACAATTCAGTGTACCAGATCGAATCACAGGAAGAGCAGGACTAAAGGAACTACAAGCTGCTAACCCTTCCCGGATTTGGAATTTTGTTGAAATTAATGTTTCTCTGGAAGAACTACAAAAATTAAGAAGAACTCGAATATGCCACTTAGTTCAGCCCTTGGATACGGTGCTGGATGATAGCATTGGATGTGCAGTCTGGTTTGCTTCCAGAGGAATTGGCTGGTTAGTGACTCAGGGTGAAGCGAAGTCATACCAGAGCAGTGCAAAGGTATGGCACAATATTTCTGCTTAGGAGAATTTCCAAGACTTACTCTTGGCCTTAAAGCTTTTGACATTTAGGTTGTAAAAATATAGCATATTTTAGTGGCATTTTAAACTACAATACAATGTATATGACTTTAAAAATTGGGCATATTTTACTATTTTATGACTTTGCCTTGTGGTTTTTCTCTGAAAATGTTATCTTTGAAGTTATAAATTTTATAAGCTTTGCATTTATCTTATTTTTCTTACTGCATGGCAGAAAACATTTTTATGTGGATTTACCTTTATAGGTAATTCTTACTGGAATTGGTGCAGATGAGCAACTTGCAGGTTATTCTCGTCATCGTGTCCGCTTTCAGACGCATGGGCTGGAAGGATTGAATAAGGAAATTGAGATGGAACTAGGTCGAATTTCTTCTAGAAATCTTGGTCGTGATGATAGAGTTATTGGTGATCATGGAAAAGAAGCAAGGTAACACCAATTCTCTAAATGTTGTGTAATTTTGTAAAAACCATAGACTGTAAAATGAGATTCTTAGGTTTCTTTTTTTTTTGGAAACTGTTCAAATGAACAACAGTAGCAACAGTAATGTCTTGGCTTTATATAGCGAACACAGCAACAAAGGAAGATGTGTCATTTGGTTATAAAAAGCAGAAATTTGTTCAATTTATTACGTGGTAGTTTATTGCAAAAATATATAAGCATGCAAGAAAAGGGAGTCCAAGTAAGTTTTGTGGGATTTGGAACATCATAATACATTCGCTCTGAGACGTCATTGTTTCTTGTCTCTATTTCAGTCTTTTCCTCCTTCCACTGAACTATGGTTTCCTTTATACCATTGTCATTCTTAAGTTGCCCCTTCTGACACATGTAAAAACTTTACCACTATGTCATTATTCTGTCATAATTTTCAAATTTTCATTATAAGGAGATAATGCCATAATACAAAGTCTAAAATGTTTTCCTTTTGAAGGGGGGGTGTGTGTGTATGAGAGAGAGTGAGATTGAAATTCAGTCCATTATTTCAGGTAGGTCAGAGAAAAGGAATTTATTTTATTTAGTAAAAGCAGTTAATTCTAAAAGTCTCATCTGATACCCTCAGGTAAAGATGCATATGATGAATGTTTAGAACAGCTAAAACAGAGTTGTGATTTAGTAGATACCATTATAGTGGCTAGATCTAAATCCATTATGTAATTTTGCATGCATATCAACAGTTATCTATTGATTAGATTCTTATATCTAAATATGCTTTAACAATTAATTCATTTTTATAAAATATTCCATATAACACATGCCTTTATCCTTTCCAATCTCTCTCCTTGAGCTAGAATAGAATATGGTGAAATAGAACACTAGTATTACTGTATTGCATTTTGAGGAATTGGAAGGAAGGAGAGTGTTAAAGTATTTGAAACAAAAAAGAATTTTGTAAGAAAACGGAAGCCAAAAGAATAGTTATTTTTTTAAATCTAATATTTTATTCTATTATATTAATTTAAATGGTTTAAATGTAATTAAGCTGTTTTGATACATAAACTTTTATGTGAGTAAATTCTTCACAAGTTCAGGACTATAGAGCCCTTCTATATTGGTTTCATATCCTTAAAGTTCAATTTGTTTAGACATGATGAAGACCAGGTAGAAATTTAATAATTGATTTAAGAACATGCTTATTTTTAAGACATCCCCAAACATATCTTGTGAAACAATTTGAAATTATATCTTGACGACATAGAACTAATTTATTTATTTATTGAGGCTAAATTTATTTTCCAGCATATGTATTAAAATTACATAATGTGAAATACTTTCTTAATGTGATTACATTTTAGCTGCAAAATTATGTAAATAACCAGAATATATATCTATATATATCTATATATATAGATATATATAGATATATATAAAATTTTTTTTGCATTTATCTTGAGAGAGCAGGAGGGAGCGAGGGAGGAAGAGAGAGAAACATCAATGTAAGAGAGACACATCAACTAGTCGCCACCCACACAACCCCAACTGGGGCCAGGGACAAACCGCAACCGAGGTACGTGCCCTTTGCGGGAACCGAACCCAGGACTCTGGTCCACAGGCAGACGCTCTAACTGCTGAGCCAAACCAGCCAGGGCCAGAATATTTTTAATTGAGAAAAATAGTACCCTCAAAAATTAGTTTTATACAGTAAATTTTAACATTGAACAAAACGCAAAAGAAGTAATCATACTGATTTTATTTTTTATAGAGTTTGTATTTATCTATTTATTTTAGATTTCCTTTCCTGGATGAAAATGTTGTCTCCTTTCTAAATTCCCTACCAGTTTGGGAAAAGGCAAGCTTGACTTTACCCCGTGGAATTGGTGAAAAACTAATTTTGCGTCTTGCGGCAGTGGAACTTGGTCTTACAGCCTCTGCTCTTCTGCCGAAACGGGCCATGCAGTTTGGATCCAGAATTGCAAAAATGGAAAAAAATCATGAAAAGGCATCTGATAAATGTGGAAGGCTTCAAGTCATTTCCTTAGAAAACCTTTCTATTGAAAAGGAGATTAAAACATAATATTTTACAATGTAATAACATTTACTAAATATTGATTATATAAAAATAAAACACTCTGCTGCTCTATTATTGTTTAATGTAGTAATTTTAAAGTTCATTGTGTGAATGTTTACTTAACTATGTAGCTTAATATAACCAATGTAGTCAAATTGACATAATATGGAAAGATTGATTATGCTTGAAAGAACAACTTGGGTATTTTAAACTATGGTTAACATTGTTTTGAACTCTTGCATTGTAATGTCCCATCAGCAACACTGAAAGAAGGCAACTTTTAGTGACTCTTCATAGCAGCTATATTCAAAAATAATTCAATTTGTTGTTGTCAGGATCATGGTTTACAAGGGATCCTATTTAAGCTAAACAATTTGCTTGAGGTTAACACCCCTGCACAATACTTAGTAGTAGTTCTGTTACATCTCTTTAGGCAATTTATTTTCTCACTCCGAGAATTTTTTAAGACTATTTTAAACATTCTCCTGTGCCAGATTTCTGCCTCCCTCTCTTTGCCCCCCTTTCAGCTCACTCCCTGGCTTTTCACAGAGATTAGTCATCAGTCCGAGAACTGCCTCCACTTTCCAACACCAGAACTTAGAACTCACCTGTAGGTACACCTATCCTTCTCTCCCTTCTTGCTGTTGGAAAGGGAAATGTGTCTCCGACTGTTTGTATCTTAATCCTTCCTGCCTTTCAGGAATCTTACACATCGCTCTCCAGCATCTTCAGCCTCTTCAGCCTCTTCACTGTAGGATCCTTCCTATCATTATTTAAAACATTCCAGCCTATACCATTTTAAAATTCACATCCCTGGTCCTGCATCTTCCTCTACTTACCATCTCTTGCCACTCATCCACACTTGCCCTCTCCACCTTTTCACCTGATCCACTCAACTCCAACCTGACATCCACCCACATTATTCAGCTGTGAGCATCATACTAAGGTCACTGTTGGGGATCTATCCCCAATTAGGGGATGCTTTCGGGATATGGACATACTTTGATTCTTTCAATCACAGAAAGAAATATTAGGGTACATATATAACAAAAAGAAAAGTCAAAGATTTTCACCTGCCCTGAATTTATTCCCTCATGAATGCAATGTTCAAACCAGATTTAGACATTAAGTTAGCTTTCATCTCTACCTACAGGCAGACAACTTCAAGTGTCTGTGCTACTGAGCACTAATTAACGTTATTAGGAGTGGGTAAACTAAGAACTTTGCCTAGCAACCTAGAGTCGAATATAATAATTTATATAACAATACAGTTCAGTACTGAAAACAGCTATCATTTATATAGTGCTGACTGTGCCAGACACTATTGTGTGAGCTTTATATGTGTTAATTTAATCAGTTGAACCTCGGGAATCTACAGGTCATCTGCTCCATCAGGATACTCATGCATATTTGTTTTTGTTTTTTCTTTAGTCCCCAGAGGGCCTGATTGTTTACAGCCTTCTTGGAAATTAATCCTATAAACTCAGGGATAAAGTTCTATTTTAATCCTAAAAGGAATGATCTTTTCAAAGATTTGAGATACTTGGAACAAACCATCTGGATACCTGAACAAAAAACTTATAAGTAGAGGAATTTACATATGTTGCTCATGCTTCATAATTGCAAACATACAAATAAAGAAGGCAATGATTTTTGACATTTCTTGTCCTAGAACAGCAATCATAAATTTACTATTTACCTCCATAGCAGCTGTTAAAAAGAACAGACCCAAAATGGGGTCACTTGTGTTAAGCCCCACCAGGACTTCATAGCTAACTCAATTGCTCTCCCAGGAGTGGACTATTTAAAACAATCAGTCTAGAATTTCCTGGTCAGCATAGTGAGGTAAACTGCCAGATAAGACTCCCTGCCTTCCCCTAAGGCAGTGGTTCTCAACCTTCTTAATGCCTCCACCCTTTAATACAGTTCCTCATGTTGTGCTGACCCCCAACCATAAAATTATATTTGTTGCTACTTCATAACTAATTTTGCTACTGTTATGTCTTAGGCGACCCCTATGAAAGGGTCATTTAGCTCCCAAAGGGGTCACAACCCACAGGTTGAGAACCGCTTCCCTAAGGGAAGCTGACCTTGCTAGAAATGATCCATTATTTTAACCTTGTTCCACCTTCTTTCTACCTGCAAAAACCATTTATACAACTCCTCAAAGCTTCCTTCTATTTGCTAGATTAGATACTGCCAATTCATGAAACCCTCAATAAAGTCAATTAGGTCTTTAAAATTTTTTTTCTCTTTTATTGATTTTAGAGAGGAAGGGAGAAAGAGATATAAACATCGATGAGAGAGAACATTGATTGGCCGCCTCCTGCATGCTGTGCACTGGGGATTTGGCCCACAACCTGGGCATGTGCCCTGACCGGAAATTGGACCAGTGACCTCTTAGTGCGTGGGTCGTGGGTCGATGCTCAACCACTGAGCTACCAGTGGGGCACCAATTAGCTTTTTATTTTTTTTATCCTCACCCAAGTACTTTTATTTATTTATTTATTTTTTTGCATTTATCTTCAGAGCGGGAGGGAGAGAGGGAGGAATAGACAGAAACAGGGATGTGAGAGAGACACATCGACTGGTTGCCACCCACACAACCCCAACCTGGGCCGGAGACAAACTGCAACCGAGGTGTGTGCCCTTAGTGGGAACCGAACCCAGGACTCTCTGGTCTGCAGGCCATCACTCTAACCTCTGAGCAAGGTTTTTTAATTTATTTGGTTGGCCCTGGCCGGTTTAGCTCAGCAGTTAGAGCGTCGGCCTGTGGTCCAGAGAGACCCGGGTTTGGTTCCTGCTAAGGGCATGTACCTCGGTTGCAGTTTGTCCCTGGCCCTGGTTAGGTCATGCAGGTGGCAGCCACTCGATGTGTACCTTTCACGTCGATGTTTCTCTCTCTTCCTCTCTTTCCCTCCTCCTCTATCTGAACACAAAATGAAAAAAAAAAAAGTTCTTGGGGGAGGATAAAAATTTAAAAAAAAAAAAATTTATTTGGTTGACTTTTTAGTCTTTAAAATCGCTAAAATATCCCCTGGCCAGTTTGGCTCAGCAGTTGGAGCACCGGCTTGCAGACCAAAGAGTCTCAGGTTTGATTCTAGTCAAGGGCACATACTTCAGTTGTGGTTCGGTCCCCGGCCCTGGTTGGGGTTGTGCAGGAGGCGCCAATCAATGTGTTTCTCTCACATCAATGTTTCTCTCTGAACATAAAAAAAAAAAAAATCACTAAAATATGAAAGCCCTGACCAGATAACTCGGTTGGTTAGAGCATCATCCTATTATGCCAAGGTTGCAGGTTCAGTCCCCAGTCAGAGCACATACAGGAATTAACCAATGAGTGCATAAATAAGTGGAACAACAAATCGTTTTTCTCTCTCAAAAAATCAATCAATAAACACCTTTTAATCGCTAAAATATGATATGATTGGAGTAAGAGAAATTCTGCCCAGTCACCAAAATCCTCTATGTTGCTAAATTCAGTAGAACTGTTTCCATTCTGATCTCCCTTGACCTAGCAGCAGCATCCAGTGAAGATGACCGTTCCCCTCTTCATGACACACTTTTCTTGGCTTCTGTGACCAGTCTGGGTTTTGCTGCTGCCTTCCTGACTGCTGTTCTTTGTCTTTGCTGACTCCACCCTTTCTACCTGACCTTTAAATATTAAAAAATTTTGGTCTCCATTCTGGGTTCTCAACTCTTCTCTATTCTCTCCCTTGCTAATTTCAGTCACTCCCCTGGCTTCAATTACCCTAAACCTCCCAAATACATATCCTACCCAAGCTGCTATATTTAGCCGACACCTGTATAACTAAGGCACATCTGACATCTCTGTTGGTTATGTCACAGGTACACCTAGGTCAGTATGTCCACAAACAAACTCTTAAATCCTCCCCTGATCCCCTGTTGCTCTTGACAGAAATTGAAGTGTCACCTAGACAGCCCCACCTTTTCAACACTCTATCCCCATTCAATAGGCCACCTGTGGATTTCTCAAATCCGTCCACAGCCCCCCATCTCCACTGCCACCACCCTAGCCTGTACCTACCCTCTACTGCCACCAATCTAGCCTGAACTTTTGGAATAAAGTTCAAAATCATTAATGCAGCAGCCTGCATGATCTGGCCCTCACCAACCTCTCTGGCCTAATTTTGTGTCCACTTCTCTCGTTCTCTGTGCAAGGTTTTGTTCAGTTTCTCAAAAATTTTAACTTTCTTCCCAAGTCAATTCTTCATCATCTATTCCCTATCCTTCTCCTTCTCCAACTCTTGCCATGAATTGCCCTTTTTCATCTTCCAGGCTTAGCTTAATGGATCACTTCCTCAGGGCAGCTCTTCCCAGCCCCTGGTCTTGGTCAGGTTTCCTTCCTGTGCTATCCATTCATCCTAACATCTATCACACTGTTTAAATAAACCTGTGTGATTATCCAAGTTATCCAAGTTGGGACTTGGTGTCTGTCCTGTGTTCCAGGGTCTCCAACTCCTAACACAGTGCCTGGGTCATAATAGGTGGTCCATAAATATTGAAGGAAAGAATGATGATGAAGGTGGGATTCCAACTCAGGAACTACCTTAGAGCCTGGTGCTGTCACCTCTGCCATTTTTTTGTTTGTTTTCTTCGCAGAGACAAATAGTGAAAATAAAAATTAACAGAGGCAGGGTGACAAGACCGTGAGGAAGCGCTGAGTTCTAAAGAGGGGGCAGGGTGGGGCACGTGCATGGGAAGAATCCGAGCAGTGCAGTGGCCATGATGCCACTGGAAGCACAGCCCAAGGATGCAGTGAGGGGAGGTGGGAAGGGGGCGGGAGGAAGGGGGGAGGGGCCCTGGAGGCGGGGCCTGGTGCCCCAGGCCGGAGGACCAAGGGCTCTGACCCTGGAGAGGCAGGCCAGGTGGAGGGTGGAGGGCTCCCAGAGGGCAGGGCGGCCTCATCCAGCGAGCAGGCCTCCCCAGACTCTCGCCTCAGCGGGGCTCTTGACGGTGTTTTCCTGCCCAGAGAGAAGCCATTCCAGATGACCTCTGTCTCCCGCCCTCAAGAATTTCCCGAGGACCCAAGTGGACGCAGCTTCCTTCTCCAGAACAAGTAAACAACCATTTCAAAGTAGG